GGCGACGTCTCTTCAAAACGAGGACCCAACACCACAGGATGGTTGGGAAAACATCATCCCTTCGGTCATGCAACTGCTGGTTGTTGCAGACGAATATATACGGCACCAGAGACCGAGCCTCTTTTTGGAAGCGACTTGCTATCCGAATTTGCGGGGGAACATTCACGCTTCAATGTCGTAATGTCTAAAATGGTTATACGAACTATACACTATTCGGGGGCGGCAAAGAGGGGGGCGTCCAAGAGGGGGGGGTGCAAATTATGGCCAGCGGCACGTGCGCGGCCCAGGGGGGGGCCAGGGACGCATTGAAATAAGAAGAGGCGCAATGAAATGTGAGGAAAAATCATGGCCCACACCATGATATCCACCCCCCCCTTCAGTCATGACCCCCCTCTTTGCCGCGCCCGGACAAAAAGAAGGCGGGGCAAACCGGACCGCCAAGGACTTCCCCGCGACCGCCCTGGCGCTCCGCGTGCAGGGGCGAAATTCTGCGCACCCTCTGGACGTCAGACCACATCCCTTGGCATGGCTAGAGACTGCGCTCAGGGACCATCCCCTGCGCACCCTGTCCAGGTCGCGAACGTGCTGCAGCTGAAACGACCTGCGACCCGAAGTGGATTGAAAATGCCCAAGTACCACTCCATCCGCGCCCTCCCTCACCGGTGCCGAAAAAACGCCGCGCCAGCCTTGCCCTGCGACCCTGGCGTGGACAGAAACGGAACTTGGGGGCCATCCCTTGCGCACCCCTTCTGGTGCCGACAGGGCCCGACAAGGGGCTCCGAGATGGCCCCAGGTGTTTCAATATGGCCTCCAAGATGGCGCAAGCTATCTCAAGATGATTTCCAAGATGCCTCCAAGTGGCGCCATGTTGGCCCCAAGACGGGTCCAAGTGGCGCTGGGCCCATCAGGCACCAAAGACTACCGAACGCGAGAACTGGACGCCACCGCGCGCACGCGCTCGCGTACGTACTTACACTGTCCAAGTAAAACGAAAACTACCTACTCGTCGACCGAAGTAGCCTGCATATATGCACGCGTACAGCTCATATCCATCCACCAATGCATGCGCGTGCGTTCGCGCATATACACACATGTCTACGCACATAAATGTGTACCCATCAATCGGATCGTTCGGCCTCCGTGGACTGGTTTCCAGGGGGGGCAATGGCAACAAAAACTATGTCTTTGGCGGCGACAAAAATGGCAGTCAGGATCTAGTGGAAGGGGGAGGGGGGTCACCATTGTGTTTAAGAAGTGTTGGACATGAACGGGCGGGGAGGTCCCAAGCGAAACGCCAACGGACGTGTAGAAGTGGGATGGAAGACGAGGGCCCGGCGAAACATAATCCTGGGATGCATGTGTCTATCCCCCCGGCATGATCACTAGCACTCCAAGTCAGTCAATAAGTAATCATCGAGGTGGGAAGCCGCCGAACGATACCGTATAGCACACCACCAAGTCAATCAACTCATTCCTTGGGGGGCGGTGTGAGAGGAGTAGAAAAGGAATTCGAATTGTGCTCTCATCGGGGGGGACTCATGTAAAGGTGGCCAGACGACGACGAAGAAGACGATGGACGACGATGATGACGACGGACGACGACAACGCGCTGCGGATGCCCAGAGGGGGAGGTCTGCTGCGTGGGCCCGCCACAATCGACGACCACGACGATAACGACGACGTGCTGCGGATGGCAATTGGGGGAGGTGTGAACGGTGGGACCTTCCTGGAATCCAATTGGAATCATCTTGGAACCCTGGAAGCGAATTGGGGCCCAGCAGTCGTATAGGAAGCATATGTATTGGAATCCTAATGGAAATTGAGATCCTCGTAGGATCCTTCAGGACAGCAGTCGGACACATCCGCAGAGAGAAAGAGAGAGAGAGAACAACATATAGAGGGAGATCTATTGATAAACAATAAATGCTCAAATAAGGGGGGGGGCTGTCGATATGGATATTGCAGGGTAAGTCTGCGTTAAACAATGCTTTCCCTGCTGCGCGATGAGTAGACCACGATGAGTAGACCACGCCGGCGGAAGTAGGGGGAGGAGGGAGGATAAAGGTGAATGAGATTGAGATCCTGAGGGAGTCCGAGTGGAAGTCCGTTTGGGATCTAAGTGTGATCCCAATGGGGTCCCCCCGATCCCCTGATCTCTGCTTACCTGGGGTGACACGGCGTAAGACGGGCCAAGGGAACCCCAACAGGCCGCGGCGACGTGCCAAGATGACTCCGAAACAGCACAAGAGCGCTCCAAGACAGCCTCCAGGCGGTCTAAGAGGCCTTGAAGACACCCCAAGAGCACTCCAAGAGACCCCGAAGGGGCCCCCAAGCCAAGAGGCCAAACTCATTGATGTCCGTTTGGCTTTTGAAATGTGTTCCCGTTCTTGCCTTTTCGGCTCAAGAGGCTCCCAGGATCGCCCAAAGACAGCCTAAGATGCCCCCAAGAGGGTCCCCCAGACCCCAGACGGCCCAAGCCCAAGGCGACCCGAAGAAGAGCCCGAGAGGGCCCCAACAGAGCCTCGGGAGGGGGAACATGAAACAAGACTTCGAGCCGTTTGTCCCAAGATGACCCCCGAGACCGCCAGCAGGATCCCAAGATGTCTCCCAGAAGCCATAGGCGGCCCCGAAGAGGCCGAAATGGTGCCCCAGGAGGCCCCCAGGAGGCCCCCAGGAGGCCCCCAGGAGGCCCCGAGGCACCCCAAACACATCTCCAGGAGGACGCCATGAGCATGTGTACTTGTGTTTGGCGGTTGTGAGCCAGCCTCCCCCCTGCACCCCATCCACCAGGGACCCATCCCGACCAACCTGGAGTTAAGGAAGCCCCAACCACAACCCCCGAAACACTCACTTGACCAAAAGAGGCTCCGCGAGGGGTGCCTTGACAAGGTCCCCAGAATATCAAACCCTTCTCGTCGTCCTCGTCTTCCTCCTCCTCAATGTCCTCCTTCTTACTCTCATCATCGTCGTCTTGAAATAAATCCTCTTCTCCCTTCTCCAGGGTGGGCCGGAATGACGTAAGCCTCTTGACTGTGATAAAACTCCGATCGGGAGTATTAGGAATATGGTTGAAATCAGATTGTGGTTTACTGTTTTACAAGAATACAGTTGCAACTTCGATTGGAATCATATTGATCTTACTGGAATACTGTTTGCTGTCGATTGGACTCCTATCGGAAGCTGACTGGTCTACTCGGATTCCGATTGGACTCTGATTAGAATCTTGATGGAATCCTCTTGGTTCCTATTGGACTCGGATTGGGATCTCATCGGGACTGTTGTGGGATCCTATTGGAATCCGACTGGGCTCCAAATTGGAAGAAGCCTGATTCGGATCTCTGGGACGTTCAGGAATCCCACTGGGAATCCACCGGAATATGATTGGGGTCTTGTCAGGGTTATATTAAGATCTTGGTGGCATCCCACACTTTTGGGTCCAGGGGCGTAATCTCATCCAGTGGGCGAGCAGCGATGTAGTTTTATAGAAGAGCGTCGGGAGCTCACTGCCGCCCTCCCAGTTGCACACCCTCCTCGACAACCTTTGACCTTGCTCCCGCAGGCACCTCGGAGCGTTGTGGGACCGCGCGTGGAACCCCCGGTGCATCGTGTGCGGCAATGTCCCTGCAGTTAGAGACTCCATGGAGGCGAACCAACCCTGTACACGACCTGGCGCATCTGAGCGACGAAGAGAAGCGGGTCTGACGCAAGAAGACGTAGCGACCTTTGGATGTGGCTTACGCGGGCCGCCAGCGTAGCACACCTCGCGAAGAAAATGGCGCATACTCACGACCTTACGCGGACGACTTCTGCGCGAATGCCCGCGCAATCGACCTCGCTTTCTTCCGTCACTCATCGTGCCCCCGAGGCCCTGAAGAGCTGCTTGCCCCTTCCTGGAGGAGTAGGGCGAGGAGGCGGAGGCGGGCAGGAAGGCGTGCGAGGGTGTTGAGGAGGGCGAGGGCGGGGAGGAGCGCAAGGAGGAGGAGGAGGACGGGGAAAGGCTGGGGAACGGGGAGGGGGAGGAGGAGAAAGAGGAGGAGAAGGGGGAGGAGGAGGAGGAGGAGGAGGAGGAGGAGGAGGAGGAGGAGGAGGACGGGGAAATCGAGGGGAAGGGGGGGGGGGGGAGGAGGAAAAAGAGGAGGAGGAGGAGGCCCGGGGAGAGCCAACAGCCTTGAACCTCGACGTTGAGTGCCCCTCTTCCTCCTCGCCTGCCCCTCGCACAGGGCGGGCGAGGGCGGGCCTCACCCCGGCACCACTGCGGGCCCGGGCCGCGGCAGGCGAGGGGGCGAGGAGAGGGGGGGCGAGGAGGGCGAGGAGAGGGGCGAGGAGGGCGGGGAGAGGGGCGAGGAGGGCGAGGGGGCCAGGGAATGGGGGCGAGGAGGGGCGAGGATGGCGAGAGGGGCGAGGAGGGGCGAGGGGGGGCGAGGAAGGCGAGGCGGGCGAGGGGGGGCGAGGAGGGGGGGCCAGGGAATCGGGGCGAGGAGCCGGGCGAGGAGGCGGGCGAGGAGAGGACAAGGGCGAGGGCAAGGGCCACGGGCGAGGAGAGGCGAGGAGAAGGACGAGGAGAAGGGCGAGGAGGCGGGCGAGGAGGGCGAGAGAAGGGTTGAGCAGTGCCGGGGGTCAGAGACTGCCTTCCGCTGCAGGACCACCAAAACAAGGAAGTCAAGGTGGTCAAACCTCGTCGCTTAAGCCGACGACGATGTGCAAAATCCAACCGCTCGCCTCAAAGTTTTAGCTCGACGCCAGGTGTGGTGCATCAATTTCAGCTCGACGCAGCAGGTTGGTTGCGCCCCTTGACGTCCGTTTGGGGAGTCCTGCAGATCTGGCCCTCCACCCCAGAGGGGGGGAGGAGGAGGAGGAGGAGGAGGAGGAGGAGAAGGAGGGGGGGAGGAAGGAGGAAGGAGAGGAGGAGGAGGAGGATGAGCAGGGGGGGGAGGAATGGAGGAGGAGGAGGGAGGAGGAGGAGGATGGCGAGAAGGGGGGCGAGTCGGGCGGGCCCCCGCCTGGCTCCACTCCAGGCCCAGGCCGCCGAAGAGGGACAGAAGCTCCTCGAGGCGCACGAGCCCGCTGTTGCCTGCGCGCCCGGCGCCCCTCCCGCTGCGCCGCTCGACGGCGTCGCCGCCGCCGCAGACGACGCAGACGACGACGCCGCAGACGACGCTCCCGCCGCCGCCCACTTCTGCTGCGCAGGTATTATGTGTGACCTGACTTCATCTTCTTAGTCTCAGTCTTGCTCTTCTTCTTCATATGTCTTCATCTTCTTAGTCTCAGTCTTGCTCTTCTTCTTCTTCATATCATCATTATGCTTATTCTTCTTCTCCTTCGCTCAGTGAGCCGTTCTCTCTCACTCTCTCTCTGTCTCTCTCTCTCTCTCTGTCCTTCTCCCTCTCCCTCTCCCTCTCTGGCGGAGCGCAGGACAGGGGGGGGGGGGGGGAAGGGCTGATGTCTAGGGGCGGAAGCACCTCTGTGGAGGCACGCGGGTGGAGGCGTCCTGGGAAGGAACGCCCCCCCTCCTTATCCCCCCTTCCTCCCTCCTTCCTCCTCCTCCTCCTTCCTCCTCCTTCCTCTCTCTCATCCCTCCCCTCCCTCCTACTTCCTCCTCCTTCCTCCTTCCTTCCCCTCCTCCCTCCTTCCGCTTCCCGCCGTCCTTCTCGTTCCTCCCTCCGGCCTCCCTGCGCCCGCCTCCTCCTCCTTCTCCCCTCCTCCTCCCTCCTCCTCCTGCCACTCCTCCTCCCTCATCCCTCCTCCTCCTCCCACCCCCTCCTCCCTCCCCGTCCTCCCTTCCCCCCTTGGCCCTCCCCCTCCCTCTTCATCCTCCTCCTCCTCCTCCCCCTCATCCTCCTCCATCCCTTCGCACCTCGAGGCCAATTTTTTGGGTGGGCCGGGCGTTTCGCCTGAGACCTCCTCATCATTCATGACTCGGGAGCTTACACATTGACAAACAATTTCCCAGATGGAGGGCGGGTTGTTTTCAAAATGCGGTTCTCGCTTAAGCGCGGCGCACATTCGTTTCAAACACTTGCAAGAGCTTCACGGATTGAGGGCGGGTCGTTTTCAAAATGTGGCTCTCGCCTTAGCGTGGTGCACATTATTGTCAAACATGTGCAAGAGCTTCACACATTGAGGGCGGATGGTGTTATATGTGGCTCTCGCCTCAACGCGGTGCACATTATTTTCAAACATTTGCAATAGCTTCACGGATTGAGGGCGGGCCATTTTCAAAGTTCTCGCCTTAGCGCGGCGCACATGCGTTTTAAAAAAAGTATGAGTGTTTCACGGGTTGCAGGCGGTTCCTTTTCAAAATGTGGCTCTCGTCTTAGCGCGGCGCACACTCGTTGTAAACTATTGCACGAGTTTCACGGAATCCCATCATCAGCGTGCCAGAAGTGGTATTAGGAAGGATTCAGGGTTATGCGGGTGCAACAGTTATGCCGATTCGCTGCGTTGGAGTCCCAAGAATGGCGTATGGCACAAGTTCGGATTGTCAAGACGCGACAATCAGGCTAATCCGTGGTGTTGGGATCCCGAGAAAAGTGTTTTGGCATGCTTCAGGGTCTCCAAACGGTCCTTCAAAGAGGTGACTCCTTCGATGGAAATGAACCGTTGTAGGGGCCTATGAAGAGGGAGCTTAGGAGGATGGATTCCAAATCGTTGATGGCTGGTGGGTTTACACTGGTCCACTTCCATCTCCTCCTCCTCCTCCTCTTCCACGACCTCCTTTTCCTCCTCCTCCTCCTCCACCTCCTTCTGAGTCACGAGGTGGGGATTTCTCTGAGGGCCGCCCCCTGAACCTGCCGCCCGCTCGCTCCCCGCTAATCCCTGACTCTCCTCGCTGACTCCCCAGCTTTCTCCGTCGGTCGTCGTCTGCGTCGTCCGCGTCGTCGCCGCCGTCGCCGTCATCTCCGTCTTCGTCGTCTTCTTCGTGCCAGCATTGTACTCCTGGCCGTCTCTCTCATGATCTGTCTCGCTCTCTCCACCTCTCGATCGAAGGACGAGGACGAGAGGGAAGCGAGGATCGAGGAGGCACTGGGAAAGAGCAGGCTGCGCAGGACCGGGCGAAAGCCGAGCGGAGGGTGGACGGAGGAGGCGGCGAACGAGGGGCCCGAGGGAGGAGGGCCTGGGCGACGGCGCCCTTGAAGGGGCCCTGGGACACACAAATAAATACACGCAAATAAAAGAATTCCTTATATTTTCACATATTTTCAGGGTTTTGGTCTTCCCCCCACGTCCCATATTTTCTTATATTTTCTGGGGGAATCGACGATTACTTGCGTCTGTGTGTTTCTTTCCCTCCTGAGCCCTCCCCGGCATCCCAGCCTTCCAGCACCCTCATGTTCCACTGGGTCAGCTCGCACACCCAGTGGCAGGGCTGGCACGTCAGGGCGTGCCTCCTGTGGCGGGCACGCGCGTGGGCCGACGACGGCGACGGCGGCGGCGGCGGCGACGACTTCGACGGCGCGCGTCAGCGTCCTGGCAGCCGCGCCCTCGAACTGAGGGACGATCTTGTGGTGCTCCCTGCCCCGCACGCCGTAATGGGAAAAGAGAGGGGGGGAATTTGAAGGGAGAGGGGAAGGGAGAAGCAGAGGAGGGAGGACGAAAAAGAATGAGGGAACACGCGTAGTAGGAAAAGGAGTTCAGTGCAGTCCGATCCAAGAGGCTCGGTCTGCAACAAACGTGTCGTGATTGCTGCCTCGGAGCGTCGCTTCCGTGACGCTGTAATTACCTGCGTGAGTACTAACCGGCGTGCGTACCCACCAAGACCGCCCTAAGAACATCACACCACTCAAGCCCCTAAATTCCACTAGCCTAGAACCATCAATACAAACATTGGAAAACACAATAACGAGGATGACATCTCGCCCCTCCTCCCGCTCATTCTTCCACCCGCCTCTCGGTGAGGTGCGCTGTTGAACGTATTCTGCTGTTGACGTGCGTATGTTCCTCCGTCGACGCCAACCGCTACGTGGACAAGCAGTGCGACGAGCGCCGCAGAGGGCTCCAGCGTGACCGCGGGACAGTAGCTAACAAAGGATGCCCAGATTGGGTCAAAGAACTTCGACGTCGCGATTTGTTTGAGCAATCCATGGGCCCCAAATACTCCCGACCACTTCCACCAGGGGACAACCCTCCATGGCCCGACAGCGGCCCTTGGGGGCCGAAGTCAGCGAAAACCCTCCGACACGAGGATCTCGAGACGCCAAACGCCTGGGCACACTGGGCTGCGCTGCGCTGAAGCAACCGTCGAATCTCCCGGGGTGCGGGACGGCCAAGCCAGAAACGCCAGAGGCGCAGGCGGCGCGGCAGGGGAGCCTGGCTTAGCCTGCCGGGCGCAGTCCGGGCAGAGGGGAGCAGCCCAGACATATGACGTCGTGGGTTTCTCCCTGGGCATCTCGGAACCCAGGACACTCGGGAAACGATCTGGGGAGAGATTCTGGAGCCTGGCAATGGGTCGAGAGAAGTCCAGGGGACCCCGTACCGCGGAATGACCAGGTAGGCAGCTCTGGTGGCGAAGGTGGGGCGACGCCGTGCGTGGTTGGCCACTCTGCCACGACGGACGCCAAGGTAAAGAGAATGGCGCTGGGAGGGGAGCTGGCGGGGAGCGCAGGGCACGGGCCGTGGGGAATGCCGGGGCAGGGGGACGACGCCGTGACTGGGGGTGACAGGAGAGGGCTGCGGGGCATGGCGCGGTGACGGGCGCAGGGCCGAGACCAGCGCGGCCGGTCCCTCATCGATGCCCGGCCACGGCGGCATGCCCGAACGCGACTGCGCAGGCCTGCTCTGCCGGAGCCCTGCTCAGCAGCTCGCCGTCTGGCAGGACGGCGTCGGCGTCGGAGAGCAGCATGCCCGAAACACGGCCGGCCCTGAATCGAGAGCGCACGTCCACCAGGCGATCAGCGGGCGAGGCCTGTATTCGGTCGAACTCCTCCCCGCGCAGGGTCATAAACTGCACCGAGGCCCCGTCGAAGAACGCCTGTAGAAGTAACGATGGCAGTATAACGACGTGCGCGTACGTCAGGCCCTCGCCCAGCGGCGGAAGGTCACACTTGCCGTCGCGGTTGTTGCCACAAGCCACGGCAATCCCGTCGCTTCTCAGCAACACGGTGTGGTCTCTTCCTGCATCGACCTGCGTATACGACAGGCCTCCGCTCAACGCCGGGAGGTTGCACTGTCCGTTATTATTCAAGCCGCAGGCCACGGCTGTCCCGTCGCAAATTATTAGCACGGTGTGGCTGTGACCTGCAGCGACCTGCGTGTACGCCAGGCCTTCGCCCAACGCCGGGAGATTGCACTGCCCGTTTTCATTCCAGCCGCAGGCCACGGCTGTCCCGTCGCTCCTCAGCAGCACGGTGTGGCCACCACCTGCAGCGACGTGCGAGTAAGACAAACATGTGTCCAGCGCGGGGAGGTCGCACTGCCCATTTTCATTCCAGCCGCAGGCCACGGCTGCCCCGTCGCTCCTCAACAACACGGTGTGGCACCCACCTGCAGCGACGCTCGTGTACGCCAAGCCATCGCCCAGCGCCGGGAGATCGCACTGTCCGTGGGCATTCCAGCCACACGCCACGGCTGTCCCATCGCTCCTCAGAAGCAACGTGTGGCCTCCGCATGCAGCGACCTGTCTGTACGCCCGCCCTTCAGCCAACGCTGGGAGGTCGCACTTGCCGTCGCGAGTGTTGCCGCAGGCCACGGCTGCCCCGTCGCTCCTGCGCAGAACGGTGTGGCTGTAACCTGCAGCCACCTGCGTGTACGCCTGGCCTGCGCCCAACGCCGGGAGATCGCACTTGCCGTCACGATTGTTGCCGCAGGCCACGGCTGTCCCGTCGCTCCTCAGCAGCACGGTGTGGTCTCCACCTGCAGCGACCATCTTGCTCCCGAGGGGTCCGCAGAATGGTCGCCGACGCTCGAGGCTGCGGCTTGAACCGAAACGGTTGCAGGGGGGGGATAGGACAGGTGGGAGAAATATGAGGATGAAGGGGAATCGAGGACCTCCCAAGAGCGCAACAAAGTGGCGACCGTTGCGCTATTCGCAGCCACCCAAGGAGCAGCGAGATCCCGCCTGGGAACCCACGACCCCGCTGGATCTCCCAGGAGTCCACGAAAGTGGCGACGGTTGCGCAATTCGCAGCCACCCGAGGAGCAACGAAGTCTCATCCGGGTCCGCATGGCCCCCGACCCCGCTGGACCTCCCAGGACCCCACGAACGCGGCGACAGCTGCGCAGTTCGCAGCCACCCAGGGAGCAGCGAGGTCCCGTCTGGGTCCGCGTGGATCTCCCAGGAGCCCACAAACGTGGTGACAGCTGCGCACATCGCGGCCAACCAAGGAACCACGAAGTTCCGGGTCCACGTGGCCCACGGCGCCGCCGGACATCCCAGGAGCTCAACAAAAGCGGCGACATTTGCGCAGTTCGCAACCACCCAGGGAGCAGCGAGGTCCCGTCTGGGTCCGCGTGGCCCCCGACTCCGCTGGACATCCCGGGAGCCCACGAACGTGGTGACAGTTGCGCAGTTCGCAGCCACCCAGGGAGCAGCACAGCAGGAGACAGGAAGAGGGGACGAGGAGACGAGGTTGGACTGCTCAAAACGAAAACCCCAAACCAGGTGGTCGGGAAACAAAGAGTGTATGCCGATGTTTCTTCCCCGATCCCTTGAATTTGCAATTCCCAGGTATGCGACGACAAGGTGGGACTCACCTTGTCATCGCATGCCTTGCAGCTCGAAGGCTCGAGGGCGGATATTTTCGAAACGGAGCTCCAGTTTCATGAAACATGCTGCTTGCAGGGGCCCGTGGGTAGGGGGCCTGGGACTGGATACGTCGAGGATACATCTTGGCCTCAATCGCAGATTTCGAGCTGCAGGACGGCACGCCATCGAGGCCCGCCCGCGTGGCCCCCCGCCCGGTGGCGCCGGGAGGCGGGCCACGGTGAAGGGGCCCTGGGACACACAAACAAGTACACACACAGATAACAGGATTCCCCATGCTTTCCAATATTTTCCAAGTGATTGTCTTCCCCCCCCACTTCCCATATTTTCCCACATCTTTCCTGGGAGTCGACGAGGAATTGTGTCTGTGTGTGTTGTTGCTCCCTCCTGACGCGAAACAAAAACCGCACGAGGCGCCAGGGCCGAGCAGCGGCCACGGCGGAGCACTGGGAGGGGGGGGGGGGGCACGCGAACACGCACTGGTGATCCGTGGGTCTATACTAGGGGGAAAACAAACCTACCTCGCTTTTGACCACCCTCGCTTCCAAGAGATACCAAACGATGCCAAACTACGGCCTGTACTGCTCAGGCCGCTTGGCGAGGAGGCGCGTGGTATGACTTGGTTTTGCCTGGAAGCGAAAGCGGGGTAGGTAATTCACGCTCCGATATACAGTCGGACCTCATTGGACAGGACACCAAGGGCCGAGCGCAAGGGGGGGGGATAGCAAAGGGGAGGTTTGAGAATCAGCTCGGGGGACAAAAAGTGGCATAAGCATAAAAGCTCGGAGGCCCGCGCGGTTTTCTCGGATCGGCGCTGGACCCCCCTCCCTGGCTCGCGGAGCGCGCCAGGGGCGGCGACGGAGGCGCCGCTGGGGGGCCTCAGCGCCGATCCGAGAAATCCGCGCGGACCTCCGAGTATTTATGTTTATGCCACTTGTTGTTCCCCTATCAGCTCACGTAGCTGGTTTTCCGGGCGCCTCCCGGCGCCGGAGGCGGCCATGCATCGAGGAATGGGCCCCTTGGTGGGGCCGAAACCAGCTGCACGCAGCAGATTTCGTAACCCCCCCTTTCCCAATCCCCCCTTTCGTTCGGCCCGAGACACGCGAGAGGACAAAAGACCCTTCCGAGGGCCACACTGCCGCAGGAATGCCGGACGCACGCGTCGCGAGGCACAGGACACAAGGGTACCCTTGAGCTGGCAGGGTGGACTTCCTAATCCGGGCCGACTGTATAGCATCGGCCAGTCCACAGGAGACCTTCCACAGGAAACCCAACCCTCAGACCCCAGGACGTCCACCAGTTTTTGGTATTGGCTCGTCACGGTCTCCACAGCAAAACCATGGAAACCCAAGAAACCCAGGGCACCCCGGAGGCAAGCAGGGTGTTCTTCTTGGCATGGGCCTACATGTCTACTGCGTGGGTGCCAGATCCACGGATCGGGGAAGGTGCCCGCGGACATGTGAGGCCAGTGCTTCCTCGTTTGGCGACAGCGCGCGCCGATGCTGCTTGGAGGCAGGACCTGTTGCTAATCCACGCGCCTTAATCCATTACCAGCCTGGAACATATCCCTATCCCTATGTTGGGCATCGCCTCATCACGATGGCGATCTTAGGGATTTCCTCTGTTTCTGAGGGTGTATCCCTAAGATTGTCATCTCCTTTTAGCGTGTGAATCTTAGGGATAGGGATAGGTTCGAGGCTGGTGATCCAAGAGGCTTCGCAGAAGCTTCCCAAGACGCTTCCATGTCAGCGTGCCCTCGATCCGAATCCTCCCACACCGGAGCCCTTCCCCTGCCGCCTCTGCCTGCGAGCCTCCCGACGGGGCTCGGAGCAGAGACGGGCTCGGCGCAGACCGCGCCGCACTGCCGATGCACAGCCGATGCATCGGCGATGCAACTTACCAGCCTGGGACATATCCCTATCCCTATGCTGGGCATATCCTCATCACGATGCCAATCTTAGGGATTCCCTTATTTTTTGAGGGCGCATCCCTAAGATTGTCATCGCTTTTTGGCATGTCAATCTTAGGGATAGGGATATGTTGATATGTTCGAGGCTGGTAAGCAACGGCGACGTCGGCGGTGCATGGGCGCCGTTGGCGCGGGGGGAAACGGGCTCCACGTCGAACCCCACCGCCGGTGCATCGGAGATGCGCGGCGATCCGCGGATCCTCCGACCCAGACCCCCGGCGGTATGATTTCTTCATGGCGTCGACCCCCAGACGTCTCGACCCATCCCCCAGGACCGGTCTTCACTCCTGAGCTGCTCTTTGGCGGCCCCCAGGCCCGGCAGGGGCACCCGGAGGCCGACAACAGCAACCAAGAGGAACACCGTCGTGACTTGCTCATGGATCGAGGGGGTCTGAGGAACCCATCTGCTCCGACCCGAATTGGGACGCCTCGACTTCGGAGATCTTCTGACCCGGGTCAATCCAGACCCGGGTCAGCAGGAAACCAAACCACTGCAGTGCAGGAACAAAAACAAACACTGCAACGCAGGTCTTCGCAAACCCGGGCCAGCCAATATGCGCGGCCGCCTCGCGGCCACGAGCGGCTCGCCAACCCGGGGTCAGCCAGAGGGGGTCTCCGCAGGATCCTGCAGGACCCGGTGCCCTGGCTGACCCCCGCTTGCAGCGACCCCCTTCTCAAGGCTCCCGAGCCTCGACCTATTCCCTGGGGCCGGCTCTTCATCCTGACTTGTTTTCTCACGGTCCCGAGGCCCGGCAAGGGCCCCCAGAGGCAGAAAATAGAGTAAAACCGCCCGTCGTGATTTGTTTCGTGACTCGACAAGGAGCCGAGGCAGAGTTAGGAGGCAACTGCCACAGCCCTGCCGCCCGACGACTGCCACACCCCTGCCGCCCGGCGCCCCCGCCCGCGCTTCTCGAGGAGGTGCTGCTGCAGCACGAGGCTGGAGCTCTGGTCCCGCCTGTGGAGGGACACCTGCCGCTCGGGGGGGGGGGCACCGAGGGATAGGGCCGGGCGTGTCCCCCTGCCGGAGGATTTTCGACAACAAAAATAAAACATGCTCAACAAATAATCCGACGTGGTAAAACATGATAAGAAAAATCGTCCCCAGGCAATGTTTCAACTATTCTTGAGCACTCTCCCTGTAGAGGGACAGGCCCGACTTCAACCGAGGGCGGGGGGCGCCAAGTAGGAGGACGGAGAGGGAGCCGAGAAGGAGAAGGATCAGGGGAGGCGACGAGGGGGGACAAGTGGGAAGGATCGAGGAGGATGAGGAGGGGCGGCGGGAGGAGCAGGAAGCAGGAAGGATCAAGGAGGACGAGGAGAGGTCTCAGGAAGGATGAGGGGGAGGGGAGAGAGGGGGGCTGAGGAAGAGGAAAGAGGACGAAGGAGGGAGGATGCCTCTGATCAAAATGTCCTCGGGCTGGGGCGGAGGAAGTGAGAAAGGGTCCTTCTAGATGGGGTCCGAGTAGATGGGTTCGAACGATCGGGCCTCATCGCCAATGCATCGCCGATGTATCGGCGATGCATCGGCGATGCACCGGCAACATCGGCGACGCATCGGCGACGTGGGCGTGGAGAAGATTCGGCCCCACATCGAGACGCATCTGCTCGGACCCCATCCACTCGGACCCCAGGAGGCCTGGAATGGTGCGAGGAGGAATCGGAGGGCGGCGGGGAGCCCCGAGGGGAGGGACCGGGCAGGAGGGGGGACGAGGGCAGAAGCCAACCACCAGCCCAAGCATGCTTCCTGGGATGAAGGGGCCCTGGGACACACAAATAAATACACACAAATAAAAATAATCCCCATATTTTCTCATATGTTCTGGGTTTTTGTTTTCCCCCCCACTTCCCATATTTTCCCATATTTTCTGGGAAATCGAGGATTAATTGTGTCTGTGTGTTTCTTTTCCTCCTGATGGGAGGCAGCGCGGAGATCTTGGGTCGGCGCTGGAAGGCCCTATAGCGACGCACCCGAAGCCCCCAGCGAGCGTCGCCCGCCGGGTGAGCGTGCTCCGACGCCGAGCCAACAGATCCGCGCGGACCTCCAGGTTCTGCTCATGCCGTCCCCTGCTCTTCGGAGGGATCAGCGAGGAGCTGGATAGTTCTGCGACAACTCATGGAAGCCTCCCGATACATCTTGCAGGCTCTTGCGAATCGACGCTAACCGACGCCAGCTCGACACGAATCGACGCTAACCGACGCCACAACGGTGCTGTCTCATCGCTGGCCCGACGCCAATCGACGCCTGTGAACTCTAAAGACGGAGTTGCGAGGGCATGCGAAACTCACATGAACTGCTACCGAAGAAAAAGGGCACAACCTATCTAGTGCGTCGCCAGCGCAAGCTCCGCGAGGAGGAGCGAGCGGCGCAGCCACTCAACACAGTGCATGTCGTCCCCCCACCCCCTCCTCTTGGCCGCTGCGCGCCCGATCTTGCAAGAGGGAGAGCCGTAACATTACTATAGTTGTTCGTGACCAGGGCAATCCATGCTGCGCGGCCCCCAAAAGCTCAAAAAAAGGCCGGGTGTCGAAAGAGGAACTGCTGCAGATGGTTCTTCACAGGTGTGGCCTCGCCAGTCGTGCTTGTTGAGGGAAGCTGCGCTGAGCTGAGCTGGATGTGCTTCTTCTGCTTCGGCCTCGGGTGGGCCGGCCCTGGCCCTGGACCTGTCAACCGTCGACCCGCAGGATGAAGAAAGGCCCACGTGGGCCCCCGCCCCCCACTATTCCTGCTCGCCCTTTCTCTTGCCCCCACCCCCCAAGCCACTCATGCTTGCTCTATCCTCCTCTTCGCTACTCGCTCTTCCTCAATTCGGTCCCCCCTCCTCCTCCTCCTCCTCCTCCTCCTCCTCCTCCTCCGCCTCCTCTTCCCCCTCCTCCTCCTCCTCCTCCTCCTCCTCCTCCTCCTCCTCGTCCGTCGACTTTTCTGCCATAGATGGCTCCTCCTTTTTGCGCCCCCGGACGTGGCGGCAGGGCGCGCTGGGCGCTTCAAGTTCGCATCAATTTCTGTGTGGTCCTGAAACTTCTTCACCCTCAATGATCCTGAAACTTCGACTTCGCAGTAATTTCACGGCTGGAGGCCGGCTCGTCGTTTTCAAAATGCGGCCATCGTCCCAGCGCCGCGCACGTTCGTTTTCAAACATTGCGACCGTTTGAAAGATGGAGCGCGAGCCGTTTACACCATGTGGTTCTCGCCCTTGCGCCGCACACATTCGTCTTGGAAACTTGCAACAATTTGAAACATGCATGCAATGAACCACACAACCGAACCACGAACCGCAGAACCGAACCGACCGAACGAAAACCGACGGAACCGTAACCCGTCGGAAACCCGACGTGAACCGAAACCAAACCGAACTGGAGGCGGTGCGACCGAACCGGGCCCGAACCGGGAACCGAACTGGGAACCGGTCGTGGAGGTGGACGTTTGGGAACTGCCCGATGCGAGCGCCCACTCTTGCGCTAGGTTCATCCCGCCCGCTCCCAACTCCTCCCCTGCACCCCCGAGTTCCCTCGTCCTGTTTTGCTGCTTGTTCAGGGCCGAACTGGGGACGGAAGGGCGGCGGAAAAACTCAAATCGACTATTTGGACGGTTCAACAATGCGTTTTGGGCCTCCAGGTGCTTTTCGGAGCCTCCAAGGCTGCTCTGGGGATGGCGGGGTGGCGGACAAGCTCAAATCGCATTTTTGGGAAGTTCGAAAATGAGTTTTGGGCCTCCAAGTGGTTTTCGGAGCCTCCAGGGCTGCACTGGGGACGGAAGGGCAGAGCTCAAATCGAATTGTTTGACGGTTTGAAAATGCGCTTTGGGCTTCCAGGGGTCCTCAGGGCCTCCAGGGCCGAACTGGGGACGGCAGCCGGGGCTGGGCCGCCACCATCCTGCTCGCGCCCAGTGAGGGCGCGGGCGGCGCCCTTGCCTGCCCAGTTGTCCTTTGGGATGACCCATGCCAGGACTGAGTGGTCCGTACTGTCCCAGACCGTAGTCCAAGCGTTTTCTATCCTGGCGCTGAAGAATCACCCGCTGTCGCCAGAGCCCCCTGGTCCAGGGGCCACGATGCCTTCGACTGGTCCGTCGAGGGCACCATGCGTAACGTCTGGGCCCAGTGGCTCCCCTGGCTCGTCGGGTGGCTGGGCCCAGTGGCTCCCCTGGCCCCAGCCAGGGTTTTCTCTTGACTCCTGGTTGAACTGAACTCCTAGACGCACACGCGCACACGCCATCTGCAAGAACCGAGAACCGCAATGGAACCAGCTGAAACGGAACCGCCATCTGAATGAGAACCGTCTCAAGCAGCTCCGAAACCGGAACCGTACTGAACCGAACCAATTTCCCCCGAACCAAAACGAACCGAACGGAACTGGGGACACGCTGTGCATGGAGTTTACTTGTTATCACGTGGCTCACGCGCTAGCGCCGCGCAGATTCGTCTTCAAACATTGCGACCGTTTGAAAGATGGAGCGCGAGCCGTTTACAATATGTGGTTCTCGCCCTAGCGCCGCACACATTCGTCTTGGATAATTGCAACAGCTTGAAGCATGGAGGGCGTTTGCTCTCCAACATGTGGTTCACGCGCTAGAGCCGCGTACTTTCATCTAGGAGAACTGCAAAACATTGGAGGATGTAGGGCATTACTTTTCTAAATATGACTCTCGCCCTAGCGCCGCGCACATTCGCCTTCAACAGTGACAGCAATTTTGATGGAGGGCGGCTCATTTTCAAAATGTGGCTCTCGCCCTGGCGCTGCGCACAGTCGTTGCGAACGTTGATCACAGGAATGGCGTTCTGGCGCGACTTGGGATTGTCAGGACACAGCCGTCATGTTGATTCGCGGTGGTGACGTCGCAAGAACAATGTTCTAGCACGGTTTAGGATTGACAGGACGCAGCAGTCATGTGAATTCGCGGCGCTAATGTCCCAGGAACAGCGTCTTGGCACGATCGGCCATTATCAGAGGATTGTCGTCCACTGGGGCACTCCCCGAAATGAAAAGCACGTCGTGAATGGTGCCTATATATGCAGGTGGAGCTTAGAGGGAGAGTTTACTGCAATATGGCTGGTGCGTTTTTGGGTTTGCGCTGGTCCTCCTCCTCCTCCTCCTCCTCCGTCCAGGACCCATTTCGAGCCCCCCATGATTCCCATTGCACCTTCCACCTCCTCTCCTCCTCATGCTCCCAACTTCTCCTCCCTGTACCCCCCCCCTATGCTCGCCGAAACTGAATCGTGGTTTAGCAAAACATGGTTTAGTGAAAACGACCTCGGGCCCAAACCTGGCGGGCGCAAGCCTGGAACATGACGGCCGCGGCGCCCTCTCGAGAACCCAAAACGGAGAATTCGCTCATCGACGTGTCAGTTTGCCTGTTCTGCCCACCCCCTTACCTATGAAAAGAAGCTCGGGCCGGGCGAAAGGGGGGGATAGCAAAGGGGGGGGTGAGAATCAGCTCACGTAGCTGATTTTCCCGGCGCCTCCCGGCGCCGGAGGCGGCCATGTATCGAGGAAAATAGGCCCCATCGGTGGGGCCGAAACCAGCTGCATGCAGCAGATTTCGTACCCCCCCTTTCTCGGGGATGGACAGACCTCCCTTTAGCAAAACGTGGTTTAGTGAAAACGACCTGAGGCCCAAACCTGGCGGGCGCAAGCCTGGATAATACCGGCCGCGGCGCCCTCTCGAGAGCCGAAAACGGACAATTCACTAATCGACGTGTCACTGTTGGGGGTTCTGTCCGCCCCCCCCCTCTCCCTATCCCCCCCTCTCGTCCGGCCCGAGCTGCCCACGAGCCGGACGGGCCTCGAGGCCGCCCAGACCTGCCCTCCCGCTCGCGCCGCCCGCGGCCCCCGCGGGAGAAAGAGAGGGCACCCCGTGCTGGACGCTGGGGCATCGCTTGACCTCCTGCAGCTTGCCGACGTGCACGATGCCATCCTCGGCCGCGGGCGCGGCGGCAGGGCCGAGGCGAGGCAGCCCGGGCGAGGAGTGGGGGGGCCCGCGAACACAGAAATAGATGCATACAAATAAACAGATTCCCCATATTTTCCCATATTTTCGGGGTTTCTGTCTTCCCCCACACTTCCCATATTTTCCCGTATTTTCCTGGGAGTCGACGATTCATTGTGTCTGTGTGTTTTTTGTCCCTCCTGAGGGTGGGCAGGAAAGGAGTGGGGGTCGCGCGGGAATGTCGGGCCGGGCGAAAGGGGGGGGCAGCAAATGGGGGGTTTGAGAATCGGCTCACGCAGCTGATTTTCCCGGCGCCTCCCGGCGCGGCAACATGCCATGCAAGCGAACTTACAAGACTCTCTGAATGAAACGCAGCTCCGTGCACGCCTGCGCCGGCCTCGCCGCAACCCTCTGGGGACACCATCCTTACCAGCAAGCGGCGTCTGGCCATGGTCATACGCCCCCGCGCAACTGCCCGAACCCGAGGCGACGCCGCGTCGAGAGATGGCCCCTGGACGTCTCTCGGGGGCGTCCAGGAGGGGGGCGTCCAAGAGGGGGGGGCGCGCAAATCATGGCCGGCGGCAAGTGCGCGACCCAGGCGGGTGCCAGGGGCCCGGGACGTATCGAGATAAGTATAGTCGCCATGAAGCCTGGGGAACGATCATGGCCCCCGCCATGATCTCCACCCCTCCCCTGGTCATCACCCCCCCTCCTGGCCGCCCCAGAGCCTCCAGAGGCCACCGGCAGTGCTCTCCCTGGAAGCCTCCGGGATCTTCGAGGACCCCGAGCAGAACCAGGCGCCCAAAACCTCATTCCCCAATCAGTGCTCGTACTGAAGGGGTCCTAGCGGAAGCTGAAAGATTTGGCGAATACTCCCGCCGATTTTGGTAGCAGGCTGGGTTCCCAAATTCCCGGTTCCGGGTTCCCCGGTTCCCGGTTATTGGTGCCGGGCCGATTTCGGTTTTGGACGCCCGAAATGGGTACGGAAAGAATGGGCACAATGCCCAACAACAAATGTTGTCCCAAACCAACAGCGGCCGCTGTTGGGCAGGCGGCATCCTGTCTCAAGCGGGCACAGGCCGCGGCGGCGCGGGCAGCGAGTCCTGTTCAAAAGGAACAGGAACTGCTGTTGGGCATTGTACCCATGGGAATGCATTCTTTCCTTACCCATTTCGTTCGTGCAGATCGGTGGGTGCTGGGTTCCCGGGCTCCCGGGCTCCCGGTCGATCTCCCCGGCGAAAACCATCCACTGCTTGGGGCTTCTCTCTGGTGTAATATTATGCCCGGATCGCCCAACCGAGGCGGAGGAGGAGGAGGAGGAGGAGGAGGAGAAAGAGGAGGAGGAGGAGGAGGAGGAGGAGGAGGAGGAGGAGGTGGTGTAATATTATACCCGGGTCGCCCAACCTCCCGCCCCACGCCCCGCGCCCCGCGCCCCACATCTTCGACTAAGTCGTGCCTGTCCCCCTACAGGGGGATTTTGGACGAAACGTTAAAGATAGCCAAACAATGCCCCAAACGACTCAAAAGTTGTCAAAACATAATACTTTGACCATTTTTGAATATTCCTCCCGTAGAGGGACAGGCCCGACTCAAATCTTCGCGCGATCCTCTTCGCGCCGTCGCACCACCGCGCCTTCGCGCCCCTCCCCCCCCATGGGAGAACGGCAGCCACCCCGGCCCAGACCCTGGCCACGCGCAGAGGGGGGCATGGCTGGACCTGAGCAGTGCTTTGCGTTATCGTTTTGTTTTCGTTGTCCCTCGTGTTGTCTTCAATCCGCCTTTACAGCAAAACGAGATGAAGTCGGGCCTGTCCCCCTACAGGGGAATGTTGGCATTTTTTTTAAGCAAACAAAAAATACCCCCCGATGTTCAAACATAGTCAAAATTACTCCCCATACTATTTTTTTTTAATTATTTTTGAGTATTACCCCTGTAGAGGGACAGGGCCGACTCAAACCTAAACATTGTTTTTCGTTCTCGTGTTGTTTTCGTTTTCCCTCGGTGTGGCTTCGATCCGCCTTTACAGCAAACCGAAATCGAAACGAAGACGGCCCACGAAATCGCCCAAACACCGTTTAGGTCCAGCCCTGGAGGGGGGGCAAGGGGGAGGGGGGAAGGCTTCTCAGAAGCACCCCTGCCTCTTGGAAGCGGCGCAGGCCCAACACCTCGGCTGCTGAGGACCGGGAGTGCTCCTCAGAAGCCCTCCCCCCTCCCCCCTCCCCCTCCTCCTCCTCCTCCTCCTCCTCCTCCCCCTCCCCCTCCTCCTCCTCCTCCTCCTCCTCCTCCTCCTCCTCCTCCTCCTCCTCCTCCTCCTCCTCCTCCTCCTCCTCCTCCTCCTCCTCCTCCTCCCCCCGGACCCCCCCCTCCCGGCGCGCGGCCGCCGGACCGCCGCGCGCGAGGCGCGAGGGCCTTCGCGCCCCCGCGCGCGACGCGTGCAGCCTCCTCGGAGCCGCGGGCTCCGCGCACGACGATGACGACGACGACGACGCCGACGCCGACGACGACGACGCCGACGACGACGACGCCGACGACGACGACGCCGACGCCGACGCCGACGACGACGACGACGACGACGAAGACGACGACGACGCCGACGACGACGACGACGACGACGACGACGACGACGACGACGACCGCCCGCCGCGCGGCACGCCGCCCCGCCAGGGCGGGCGGGGGGCGGCCTTGAGGATGATGTGCACAGGGGCTGCGTGCATGGTGTCCTGCGCGGGGCGGGGGGAGGGCCGGGGGGGGAGGGGGGGAGGAGGAGGAGGAGGAGGAGGAGGAGGAGGAGGAGGAGGAGGAGGAGGAGGAGGAGGAGGAGGAGGAGGAGGAGGGGAAGGAGGAGGAGGAGGAGGAGGAGAGGAAGGAGGAGGAGGAGGAGGAGGAGGCGGAGGAGGAAAAGGCGGAGGAGGAGGAGGAGCAGGATGACGCGCCCCTCGATCCTCACTGAGCTTCATCTCTGTCCGCGTCCCGTACGGGCGCCGATGCCCCTCCCCGTGCGCGCGGGCCCAGCGAAGCGCCTGCTCGGGAGGAGAGGCGGCGACGATAAGGTTATTGTCGAAGGAGCGGGTGGAGCGAGTGCCGCTCGCAGGCGCTGGCGCTATGCACCTACACGCTTTTCGGGACTGTCCAGCGCACACGACTTTGGCGGGGGGGAGGACGAGGACCACGAGGAGGAGGAGGAGGAGAAGGAGGAGGAGGAGGAGGAGGGGGAGTAGGAGGAGGATGGCGGGAGGAGGTGGAGGGAGGGAGGGAGGGGGGTGGGGAGCAGAAAAAAAACGATAATAACTTTTTACCGCATGAAGAACATCCCACCAGCACTTTGGGCGCAGGTGGTCTAACGATGTCTTCTTTCCTCTTCCAAAACCCTCTCGGGTCCGCATGGCGGCCCGCCCCATTTCGGCACACTCCCTCGCGATTTGTGCGTTTATTATGTCCTTGTGTTCAGCTTGCTTGCTTGCAGCCGCCATGCACTCAGAGAAGACTGGCTTCTTCGGCGGGCCACTGTTGCAGGGCTTGACGGCGGCTCCGGGGGCCGACCCCGAACGACGCGTGCATATGGTTGGCCGACACGACGGGAGCTGCACTCGGAGTAGGAGAGGCAGGGGGAATCACAGCCTCCTTTCTCCTCACCACCCCGTCTTCGAACTCGCTGGTGATGGGAGCGTTTTCCACCACCACCACCATAAGTTGGAGGGGGGAAGAAGGAGGACGAGGAGGAGGACGAAGAGGAGGAGGACGAAGAGGAGGAGGAGGAGGGCACCCTCCCCCTCCAACTTATGGTGGTGGTGGTGGAAAACAGGCACATCAGCTGGCCATGGCACCCGCAGCAGCTCGGGCCAGCGTGTGCCGCGTGAGGGCAGCTTGCCTCCCGACGTTCAGGACGCGGCGCCTGGCGTTGGCGGGCCATGTCGCTGACGATCCTATCGAGGACAACGTTGCCCAAAACATTCCCTCGATCCGCGCGGAGATCCACGGTGATCGCCGCCGATGGGCGACATCCGCACACCCACGCCGACAGACTCCACGCTGGGCTGCTGCGGCAATGTGTTGATAAGACGTGAGAGATCCACACACCCACCTCGCGCGTCCGTGTAATCATGGAGACACAAGACTCGGGTCAGGGGGCCTCAGGTTGGCCCGACGGGGCCATCATAAAAATGACGCGACCCCATCTGGAATGTGACGCGGGCTCCCGCTGCAGACATCCCACGAACAGTGGACCGTCAAGTCCAGAACGCGCTCGTCAGAACAGGTCCGCAGACCGAGATCCTGCTTACTCGAGTCTTACGTCTCCCCGAATGCACTTCCGATTCGCCCACCATTCAGAAACGCTCCCGCAACCGGCATAACCAATAACGGACCACCAGCTGCAAAGGTGTGGTGCAATAGACTTGGGACAATTGTATTGCAAACGTATTGCGCCGGAGAATTGTATTGCATTGTATTGCAACGAATGTCTTGCACGCGACAATCCAGCAAAACACTTGCGCCCCGGAATGTGTTGCACGCCCCAAATGTATTGCAACCCCACAAATCTATTGCACCCAATCTATTGCACCACCCCCTTGTCGCTGGACCCTCTTCTGGGTCGACCCGAAGCTGCTGGCCCACCTCACACCGGCAGCCTCCGCGCCCCGGGAGGAGGGGTACTTCCGCCGCAGAGCTGCCTCGCGGCTGCGCTGCGGGGGGAGGGCCCGCCACGGCGACTGCGGGCGCGGCGCGGCCTGGAGCCCACACTGGACCTACGGAAGAACGCGCTGCACTTCTCGTTCGGCAGTCGAACGCACGAATGCCGTGAACAGATGGAGGAATCACCAAAAAACAGACACATCAACTTTCGGCGCTCCACACGGATTTCTCGGATCCGCGCTGGACCCCCCTTGCGCGGAGCGCGCCAAGGGCGGCGCCGGAGGCGCCGCTGGGGGGGCCCCAGCGCGGATCGAAGAGATCCGCGCGGAACGCCAAAAAGTTCATGTTTACAGTCGGACGTCACTGGACAGGACACGCGAGAGAACAAACAACCCTTCCGAGGGCCACATTGCCACAGGAATGTAGGAAGCATGGGTCGCGAGATACAGGACACAAGGGTACCCTTGATTTGGCAAGGTCGACCTTCTAATCTGGGCTGACTGTATGGCGTTTTCCTTCTTCGAAGAAGACCGCGCAACGGTGGAGGAACGAAACGCATATTCATCGGGCACCGTGCTTGGGGGCACGAGGCAGCGAAGTGGAGCTTCCTCCACGCGCCCCGCCGTTCTCTGCAGTCGGTGGTGCTGGATTTCCCCCGATGGCACTTTTGCTGATTTCCTTGCTGCCGCAGTGTTGTCACCACTTCTTCTGCCTCCGGCCAGGTGTGGCTTTACAGTCAAAACGTATAGTAAGGACGCGAGGTAAGGAGGCAAGACCCTTGGAGGCCGAAGTTGGGATTTTGGGGGCGGCGGGCGAGCAGTGAAAACGGCATAGGACGGGCCGCAGAGGCAAGGGGCGCAAGGGCACCCTGGATGAAGGCGCGCGTCCTTACTAGGCGCGTTGACTGTAGGCGACGCATGGCCAGCAACTTCCACACCTCCAACTACCTCCCTCGGCCTGCGGCCGAGGGCGTCCACGGCATGGGCACCGCGCCGCCATCAGCAACAACCACGGCGCCCCTTCCGGTTTGGCGGCGCGGCCGCGTGCGCGGCGCTGCCCCTCGGCATCGGAGATCCGCATCCCCGCCGGATGCCAGCCGGGAGATCACGGGCGTGCCCAGTGCTCACTCGCGGGCCCGAACGCCCTGCCCATGATCAACCTCGACCGGGCCTCGAGATCCCACGCAGGTTGACTCGGGGTTGGGCGAGGGTTCTGAGGTCGATGAAATGAGAGAGCACCAAGGTAGTCTCCAAACGTTTGGCGGCTGCTCCCTGCCACCCAACAGTCCGCCGAGCTCGAGCGAGGCTGGGCATGGACCCCGCCGTTGGCCAAGTCCCTAACCCTGCGCGGGCGATAATAACCCCCCTGGGATAATAAAGTTCGCGGTTCCCGCGGGGATAATAAAGGATTTTCCCGGGGAAGGTAAGTTATGATGATGATGATGATGATGATGATGATGATGATGATGATGATGATGATGATGATGAAGGTGATGGTGATGGTAATAATGATGATGATGATGATGATGATGATGATGATGATGATGATGATGATGATAATGCTGCTGATGCTGATGATGATTATGATGATGATGATGATGATGATGATGATGATAATGATGATGATGATGATGATGATGATGATGACAATGATGAAGATGACGACGATGATGGAGGAGAAGGAGGAGGTTAAACCAGGCGCACGACACAGGGCTGACTCGAGAGATTTCGAGGCTCGTGGCTACTTGCCTGCAGAGGCGCACGACACAAGGCTGACTCGAGGGATCTCGAGGCTCGTGGCTAAGCAGGCGCCTACATTTTGTCAGCGCAAGAGGGGTCCTTGGCCGAGCTGGCCGAGGACCTCTCAACATGATACGATAGCAACATCGATCCCCGCAACTTTCCCGTGGATTATACATTTCGGCCTCCGCGCCTTCTTCCACAATGAAATCCTGTTGGCCAGAGGTTAAAAAAAAACATTCGGGGGGTTAAGGGGGGGTACTTTATTATCGCCCGCACGGGGTTAGACGCGCAGCTTGCGGCAAAATCCCAGACGTGCTCGAGAAGTTCGAGAAAAGGAGCTGCGCCCCCCTCTGCCTCGCCGCGACCTGGAACCCGAAACCTACTTTCCAAGGCGCTGGGGAAATTGCCGAGACATCGGGCGCCTAAGAGAGCGCCCCCGCGCTGCGCGCGACCGCCACGTTAAGCCACGTCCGGTTAAGCTACGTCCGCTCACGTCGCGCGCACATTGCACGTCGGGGGCGATAACATGTCCACCTAGTTACTAAAGTGTACAGGCATGTAGCAGACGCTCTGACATTGAAATGGCCCACAAAAACCGTAAGACATGTAAGACTACGCCGGGAAGCTGGCAGCGAAGAAAAGTGGCCCCCTTGAGCCCGACGCTGCTGATCCCATAGAAAATTAACACAACTGGATAGACAGCCGCGTGGATGACGACGGGTATCATCCCGTCCAACGCATGGTTATCGCAAGCGCGGAAATCTTGGATGCTGCATACGGCATCGAGACGATGGGCCTACATGTAGCCGTGACCCATGACATACCAACAACCTTCGCTGGCCCCAGCCTCCTCACTAGCCAGGACGCAGCGTCCTTGATGGCCTTCCCCCGCTGGTTTTCAATGGCGGCGTGGTCCTGCACGTCTGACCTTCTCGTCTGACTTGACATGGTCGCGCGTGGACATATGTGTCTCCGCAACCGTTAAAGTGGCATGAGCTTTCTTCTGGTCCACTACATCGTTTTCAGACTGTGACGTCCATGCTCGTAACACGGCCGAAATATAATAGCCGCGGGATCGCGAAGCTCCGAATCGGCCGTGGGATCCAAATTCAATGATGGATTATCCATGGAACCTGTACGACCTGCACTCAGCGAGCTCGGAGCATAGCGACCCATATCGCGCCGTGGGCCCCCTGGATCCCATATTCGAAGCCGTTGAAGCCGGCGGCGCGCATCACTTGGCATCACCAGCGAGTTTGCCATCGGCCTTGCAGATCTTCGCCGCTGCGGCTGCCGCGAACGTGGCCCGCGACACGATTTGCCTCTCCGCGGGCTGCGGCCGCACGAACCGCCCCTGCTGCCACCTCCTGCGCACTCTCTGCGGCTGCGGCGGCTGCGGCGGCAGCGGGCGCCGAAGGCGCCGATGCTGTGCCGCCCTGCGATGGCATCCTTAGCGACGCTGCAGCGCCCGCGCTTGCAACCCCGCCTGGGTATTTTGTGGGGCAGCAATGCCCGCGCATGTCGCCTCGACCTCCTCGCCACTGGCAGCGCGCCAGGCAGACTCCTTTGCCACAGGCTTACCATGCGCACCCTCGAGCTTGGTCAGCTCGGCCTGAAGGGGGGCTTCCATCACGGGGCCCTGGGCGACCTTGACGGCGTTGGCCAGGTGCGCCGTCACGGTGCTTGAGGATTGTAGAAGGGCCCTTCACCGGAGTCAATTGCTGGTTGTCATCATCACAGAATCTGACCTGGTTCGGCAACCGAGGGCGCGGAGCGTGAAAGCGTCCTGTACGATTGCACTCCGAACAACTGATGTCGCTAATTCCGAAAAATGATTCAACTCGTGGGTCCCGTACCTTCCGCAACAGGGCCACACTCTTTGAGCGACATCCGGCAGACTGCCATATCTGATGCCCCAGCTTCGCCGCCGAGAGGACCTGCCACTCGCGTGGCGAGCGGTGCGACGCCCCTCAAGCGCTGCGTGGAAACGTCGAGGCAGGATTGGGCGGAAACCATTTCAGCCTCGATGTTAAAGCCAAAAGGACGACGGGGGAAGAACGGGGGATAAAGGAACGACCGGGAAGCAGGAAGAAACTCCTCCCCCTCCCCCTCCCCTTTCTCCTTCTCCTCCTCCTCCTCCTGCTCATCCTGCTCCTCCCCTTCCTCCTCCTCCTCCTCCTCCTGCCGCTGATGTTTCTGCTGCTCCTCCTCCTCCTCCTGCTGCTGCTGCTGCTGCTGTTGCCGCTGCTGATGATGATTATGCTGCTGCTGCTCCTGCTGCTGTCCCTGCTGATGCTCCTGCTCCTGGTCCTCTTCTTCCTCCTCCTCATCCTCCTCCTCCTCCTCCTCTTCCCCTTCTCCTCCTCCTCCTCCATTTATTTTCCTTATACGTAACTTCTCCATGTCGCACCCCGAAACCAGTTTTTAGGGCGGACCAGGCGTTTCGCCTAAGACATCCTCACCACTCACGACCCTGAAGCTCAAAAACTGGCAACAGCTTCGCACATGAAGGGCGGGTCGTTTTCAACATGTAGTTCTCTCCTCCGCGCCGCGCACATCCGTCTGAGCAAATCCGCCGATCCGGCGTGTGAACTACAAGGGGCTTCAGCAAGAGCTTCATTTCTGAGCCCAAGCAGGAGCTTCAGCTCTGCTTGGGGGGGTGTCGCCGGGGTGGCTCTGCCAGGGAAGGGGGGAAGGGGGGGGGGTCCTCCCTCTGGCGTTTTCTTCATGATTTGCGTGTCTGGACCCCCCCGGGAAGGGGGGAGGGGGGGGCGGCCCCCCATCTGGCGTTTTCTGAATGATTTGCGTATCCCCAAGATGATTCGGGGAGTCTCAGGGACCCCCTCTCAGATCTAGCGGCTACCGCCCCCAAGACCCCCACTCGGAACCCTCCCCGGACCCCCTCTGGGACCGTTCCAAACACCCCCCCAGAGGAGAAGAAAGAGGACCAGAAGAATCGAGGGGGGAGAAAGCCACAGAGCCGCGACGATCACCGAATCCGGACCCCCTCAGATCGGCGGCACTGGCCGGAGGCCATTCAAATATGCAAGTGTTTCACGGATGCGGGGCGAGTCGTTTTCAGAATGTGGCTCTCGCTTCAGCGCCGCGCACATTCGTTCTGAAATTGTGCACGAGTTTCACGGATCGAAGGCGAGTGGTTTTCAAACTGTTATTCTCGCATTAGCGCCGCGCGAATTCGTTTTTTGATGTCAAAAGATTGCACGGATTGACGGCGATTCGTTTTCAAACTGTCGCTCTCGTTTTAGCTCTGCACACATCCACTATAAACAATTGCGAGAGATTCGCAGATTGAAGACGGTTCCGTGTCAACATGTGGTTCTCGC